AAACACATTCTAAAAGTACTTCTTTTTATTCTTTTCCTTCACACTTTATATATTGTCATAATCAGCATTTTTGTGTATCTCTTGACTGATTTTGTGTATAGCTGGTTTTACTACTTCTGCTTGGTTTTAATTTCATACTTGCTTGTACTTAATTGGTCTACTAACTTTACTATGGGTTCATTTTCACTGATGAAAACTATTTAGGCTTAAGAACATTTCCATCTTCAGATGTTCCTTTAACATAGCCTGTAATGCTAGTTTAGTTGTTATAAATTCCTTCAGCCTTTGTTTATCTGGAAAATGTTTAATCTCACCTTCACATCTGAATGATCATCTTGGTGGACATGAGTAATGTTTTGCCTCTCTCTAGATGCTTTCAGTACCCTCTCTTCATCTTTAATATTTGTCATTTTAATTATTATGTATCTTGGTGTTATCTTCCTGGGATTCCTTTTGTTACCAGTCTAGATTGGGAAAGTATTCATCAATTAATTTTTCAGAGAGAGTTTCTATCCCTTTGTCTCTCTCTTCTCCTTCTGGTACCCCTTCTGGGCAAATATCATTTCATTTGGATTGGTCTCACAACTCTCTCATCATTCTTTCATTCCCAGAGATCCTTTTTTCTCTCTGTTCCCCAGCATCTGTGTTCCTATTCTCTCCTTTTCATCTCATTGACTGTCTCCTCTACTTGCGGTGACCTACTCTTCGATCCCTCCAGTGTATCTCTCGTTTCAGTCACTGTATTCTCCAGCTCTGAGTGGCTCTTTTTCAAGTCTTCTATCTCTTTGCTGAGGTCCTCCCTGAGATCCTGAATATTTTTCTGAAAATCAGTGAACATGTTTATGACTTCTACTTTGAAATATTTATCAAAAAGATTGGGGAATCTCCATTTCCTTTAGCCCTCTTTCTGCTGTTTTATCCTGTTCTTTTGTCTGTAACATACTTTTCTGCCTCCTCCTTTTGTCTGGGTTTCTGGGTTTCTCCCTTTGTATTAGGTAGATCCACTCTGCCTCCTGGTCTAGAGAGTAATGGCTTCCGGAAGGAGGCGTTCTGTGGTGCCCAGAAGCTCAGGACTCTGCTCGCCTGTGCCTGGTTCTCCTTTGCTGTGGATCCCCAGTAGCTGTTGGTGGGCTGTGGGCAGGCCTGCCTTCCTGCCTGTCTGCTAGCAGTGGCGGATCTCTGTTAGCAGAGGTGGTGCTGCTGCCGGGATCATTGCGGTGGGTCCACTCTCCGCCTGCCCTGCAGCAGTGACAGTGCTGCTGGGCCAACCGGGTGGGCGGGCAGGTTTTCAGCTGAGTGTGGCACAGGGCTGGCCCACTGTCAAGGAGGAAGGAGCATTTGGCACTGATTCCCACAGTCACCTTCCAAGTTGTGCTGAGAGAGGACTGGAAAAGCTGAGAAAGCCTCTCTGCCTGCTGGGAAGGAATGTCTGACTGCTGCAGGGCCTACTGGGCTGGACAGGAGGGTGCACAGGGAGCCTCTCATTACTGAGCTGCCAGTGAGGCAAATGGAGTTTTGGGGGCTTGCTCCCACCAGTGCCTGACCAGTTGGAGTAAAGCAGGGCTGGGTAGGTCATCCACCTGCTCTTTCTTCTGCGTAGAGAGCTCTGTCCAACTCCTATCCTTGTGGCACCCTTCCTACTGCTGGTAGATCTTTCAAATTGCTACTTTTGTGTTGGGTCCCAGTGGGACTAATGGAGCATGCTTGTCCTCCACGATTGCAGGGTTCTTAAGCTCCCAGAGTGCTTTAACTCTCCCTGGTGTCCAGCCCCACTAAGCACCAGAGCCCAGTGCGATGTGGACTCATGTTCCCAGAGCAGATCTCCAGGCCAGGTGCGCAGGGCGCCTGGGCTCTCATCTCCTCCCACTCTGTTCCTCTTCCCCCTGCTTGTGGGCTGCGGTGGGTGAAGGCCTGGGTCCTGCTCTATCACGGCTTCCATTCTACCCTTCTCTGCCTGGCCTCCTCTCCTTCCCCAGGAGCAGGGCCTGTCCTGCAGGCCTCGGGCCACCCTCAGGGTCAGCTGCGTCTGCTGGGGTCGCCTCCTTAGTCCCACGAAGACATTCCCGCCTGGCCTTCCCGCTCTACCACCTTTTTCACTACAAGTCAGTTCGTTTCTTTTTAAAACTAATCCTTTATTTGAAATTTACTTTTATGCTGATATAATCACTTTTTTTTGCTCAGTATTTGTCTGCTATATCCTTATGCTGTAACACTTTCAGTCTATGTGTGTCATATTTAAAATAGATTTCTTGTAGGCAGCATATTGGGTTTGCTCTTTAATCTACTGTTGTGACCTTTAATGGCACTGTTAGACCGTTTACATGTAGGTGGTTGTCAGTAGGGTTGGATTTAAATGTACTATTTTGCTATTTATTTTCTGTTTTATCCTTCTTTGTTCCCTTTGCCTCCTGTTTAGTCTCTTCTGGATTCAGTATTTCTTATGATTCCATTTTTTCTCTGTTATTGGATTATTTGCTCTAACGCTCATTGTTTGTTTTTTAGTGTTTGCTTTAGAGTTTATAGCATTCATTTTTTACATTCACAGTCTATCTTTAAGTGATTTATTATATTTCACATGTAGTGTAAAAACCTTATAATGGTATACTTAAATTTATTCCCTCCCAGTCCTTTTTTTTTAACTGATGCCATAAAAAAGTAATAAGAGAAAAAGTCTTTTGTGTCTGCCCTTATAGTTTCTATTTCCAGTGGTCTTCATGTTTGTGTAAATCAGATTTCTATTTGGTATCTTTTTTTTTCCTTGAAATACTTCCTTTAACATTCCTTATAAAGCAGTCTTGCTGGCGATCAATTCTTTACATTTTTTGTATGTGTGTAAGAGTGTTTATTTTGTGTGCCTTTTCCAAAGATATTTTTTCTGAGTATAGAATTCTAAGCTGACATTTTTTTTTCTTTCTGTACTTTGATGATATTGCTGCAGTGTCTTCTAATTTGTATTTCTTGTGATTAGAGTCTTCTGTCATTCTTTATTCCTAGGTATATAATGTACCATATTTCCTCTGAATTTTTTTACCTTTTTCCCCTAAGCCCTGGTTTTAGTAAATTAGATAATGATGTACCTTGGTGTCATTTTTTTCATGTTTCTTTTGCTTGGTTTTGTTGAGCTCATTAGATTTGTGAGTATATAGTTTCACCAGATTTGGAATGTTTTTTGCCATTATGTTTTCCAACCTTTTTTTGTATGTCTTTCTAGGTGTTCAATATGGATATTTTAATGTTTTCCTTTTCTCTAATTATCATTGTCCATCTTCTCTCTAGCTTATTGAACATCTGGAATTCAGTTATCATGATGATTATAAATGTCCTTGTCTACTAATTGTGTCATCTCTGTTATTCCTGGGTTGGTTCTCATTAGTTGATTTTTTTCCTTCTTTGTTATCTGAATTCTCCTGCTTCTGTGTATGCTTGGTCATTTTTATTTAGAGGCCGAACCATGAATTTTACGTTGATGGATGCTGTATAATTTTTATGTTCTTGTAAATTGTCTTGACCTTCATTCTGAGGCACAATCCAGGTACTTTGTAAATAGCTGGACCCTTTTAGGTCCGGCTTTAAGGCCTGTCAGGTGGAGCGAGAACACCCTCTGGCCCGGGGCTGGGCTTCGCTCCTTCACTGGGTCGGAACCCTTTCTGAGCGATCGTCTGATGCCTTCCGAATTATAAGACCCCCTTCTGTCTGATGGAAAAGAGACTCTCTGATCTTGTTTACATTACAAGTATCATTCCCTCCACTCCCTTCCATGGCCATTTCCCCTGACTGCAGTGATTTCCGCACACATGTGTTGGTCGGTACTCAGCTGAAGCCTCAAGGGGCTCTTTGCAGCCTTCCTGGCCTCCCTCTCTGTGTGGCCTTCGACACTTGAGGACCCCGTCCTGCCGGCACTAGCTGCTTCCGCCTCACTAGGCTTCCCGCTCTGCCACCTCAGCGCAGGCCGCCAGCCGCACTTGGTCTTTCCTCCCTGCATCAAAGGAGGTGAAGTTCTTATTTTTTCCACACAGACATTCAGTTTTCCCAGTTTTTTTGTTAAAGGGACTTCCCTCCCCATTAGATGGTTTGGCACCTTTGTCAGATACCAACTGGTTGTAAGTTATTGGTCTATTTCTAGGTTTTCTACTCTTTTTTAACCATCCTGTTAAAAGTTGTTTTCCTATTGGTCATCATTCTGGCTGTGTAAAACAGTACTTCTGCTAATTTGCAGATACTCACTCTCATAGAACTGGTATGAGATATAACTGGTTTATGGTGATATAAACACAAAAATTTTTATCAACATGTATTTGGCTACTACTGAAAGTTTGTATGACTTACACCCCATAATATTTGAGACTATATCTGATTACTGCGAGGCACCCTTATGCTTCATCTAGTATTGCCAAACATTCTGAAGACTCAAACTTCGGTAGACGATTTTCTAATTTTTCTTTGCTAAATTTTATTTAAAAGATTTACTCAAAATTATTCTTGTCAAAAAGTATCAGTTGCCTACTTATAATCTAGAAGCTTTTTCTCAGAAATACTTTTCTCTACTTTTAATCCATATGCATATTTATTTATCTTAGGATTTGTTTTCTATTCCCTTCAATTAAATTGGTAGAAACAAAATATTAATATATTTTATATGTTTTTGTACCTCTCCCAATTATTGCTTAATTAGGGTTTTTTTCTCAAAGAAAATTTTATAAAAACATCATTTTGATTTTTTTCTATTTTTATATTCCCTAAATCTAGAGTTAATTCATAAATATTTAAAAAGTAATTATAAATCTTTTTAGTTGGTAGTATTAGTTACTTCTGTTCTTTCTATCATTCATCACTCAATCCTTGAAAATATTTTTAAAGCAGCAGCAGCCTTTATGATATAAACCTTTTTCTTTGTGAAGCTCCTGATTGGGTAGAAGACCTTCAATCTGCCTTACAGTGCCATAGTATTTTCATATTCTGTTGCTGAAATTTTTTTTGTTCTTTTATTCTTTTTTCTATAGAACATACAGTGGGTGAGGTTATTAAGTTAGATCCTGGTGGATCTCCAAGAAAGGTCTGGGGAAAAAGTCCTACAGATTCAATTCTGAAGTTACTTGGAGAAGCTGAACTACAACTTCAGACGGAACTATTGGAAAATACATCCACTAGAAATGGTAAGCAGAAACTAGTTGTTTCTCTATGCTAGAAGTTCTATTATTAAAAGTCAATTGTATTTTTTAAGATGCGGGGTTTTTTTTAAGTGAATTATTGATGATAGGTTATCTTTTTGTTGTGGGGGCCCGGCCTACGGCCGAGGCTGAGCCCCACTCTAGCTGGACAACGCCCTAAAGATGGAGCCTGCTTCCTGGACACCAGCCTTCCTGGCCCTACAGCTCAGCGCATAAGGAAGTCCCCATGATTGGCTTGACCCAATTTCCGTGCTCGTGCTCATAGCATGCTTTTCACATGTTTCCAATAAGACTGAACCTGGCACGTGATCAGTCAGCTGATTGGTTGGGATATGCTATATAAGCTGCTGCCCTGGAGGAAGTGGTTGTTGTTGTTTTTTGCCTTTGCCTTTCGCTAGATGGATGCTCGGACGCCCATAATAAAGATTCCTAACGAACCAGGCCTTCGGTGATCGTTCTCCTGCCGTCGCCCTAGATGGCGGGACGCGATATTTTGTTATAATAGTTTTTAGCTGGAGGGAGAATGGTTGCATTTTTTGAGAAATTGTTTTGAATAGTAGTCTTCTTTTGATCTGATATAACCTGTATGGGATCTAAAAATACAGGGAAAAGGAAGTGTGTATGGGGGAGCCAGAAAGACATTTTCTGTGAAGAAAGCCATACAAAGAATGCACCGAGTAAGCGGTGTGCATGTTAATGGGGGTCTGGATCTGGCCGGCCTAAAGGGATGTGTCAGAGGCGTGACGGGTGCCGTCCCGGGGCAGAGAGACGAGATGTTCTGAGGCAGGAAGGAAGCATCGTGACCTCCGAGCGCTGTGGGTCCTGGCACTCGCCCTCATGCATCAAGAGGAGGGTCCGTGTTTAGGAAGGAGCTTTCAGACCCAACGGTTCACTCAGATGAAGAGGAAGCTGAATATGGTTTTTCTTTTTTTGGAATTTGTGTCCAGGCATCAAGGCATATATGTCGCTCCTGTGTCCTCTCTGCCTCTACCTCTGTCTCTTTTTCTTTCTCTTTTTCTCTATCGCTCCTTAAAGCTTAGAGTGAAACTCATATCTGAAACAGAAACATAACCCGGGAGCGGAGGTTATTCACATTGTGTGTAAAGGAATTAACCGGGTGCTGATGATTGGCCAGTGAAATGAATCTATGCCGTTACTAAAGTGTAAAAAACAGGCTGCTGTTCCCTTATTAAGGGTGAATCTCCTAGTCATTAATCATCCTAGCATTTTCTTTAATAATAAAGGGAAAAACAAAATTTGAATAAAGTAAATGTAATTACTTGTTTGAAAAAAGGGCAAGTACACATGTGTATATTTGTAATTCATTCATTCACACTCTTGTGTCTAGAAGCTGTGCAGTTGTATGGCAAACACTAATCAAAACAAAAATATCGGTAACTTCATATTCTTGCATCTTAGTCTGAACATATTCTCAAAATGTCCCAGTCTTTATTCAGGAAAAAAAATGCCTCCAGACTAAGACATTTTTTAAAGTAATGATAAAAATTTCAGATTATTTTATAGTCTTAAAGTCCTGTATATGTCCATCCCTGCTAGAACTATTACTTTTAAAATAAACATCAGATTTCTGATTCATGTAAAATTTTTATTGCTTGAAGATAAGTAACTTGTGTACAATTATGCTTAGTGTAAAAGAAGGGCTTCCTTCTCCATATTCAAATAATCCATCTGCATAGAATTGGAATTGAGAAGTTACTTATTTTATGATTTGTTTTACTTTTTAAAATTCAATTTACCAACTATTTATGGAATTCTTATTAGCTGGCCTACTATTATGTGTGAGGTGTTTAAGCTGAAAAGAGTGGAAAGGTCATCCTTGCTCTCAGAGGACAGACGCAAATGAAAACAAGTAAATGATACTGCATGAAAAGAGCAGGAATAAAAGTTACAGCAATGTTTCCATAGTTGTCTTTTGACCTTATCGTTTGTCATCTGCCCCCTTTATCTGTTCCCTAACTGCATTTACTTAGAAGAGTGTTCTCTGTGCTGGGATTTCAAGACAAAGAAGTCATACTTGTCACCATCAGGGAAACTATGCGTGGGAAATCTGTTTTGGGAGTGATGTGTGCGGTGCTGTGGGACCACAGATTAAGAGGCTTCTTGTTACCAATGCTAAACAGTTTCACTCATGATAAGGCCATGTAGGGTCAGGGAGAGCCACAGAGAGAACAGGTGATTTTGAGCCAGACCACAGGTGAGAAAAAGAGGGCATTGGGGAAGTAAGGGCGAGCACAGCGTGCCAGGCAGTGCACAACTGCAGAGTATGCAAAGCACAAAGGTTCGTTTAATACATGTGTGGAAGCAGCTTCATGTTGTGGGAAGAGAATGGGCTTCGTTCCATTTTGGGGCCCATCATATGCCCAGCAGACATAGGCAGGTTCCCCTGTCTCTGACATTCAGTTTCCCCTTGTGTGGCCTGGAGCTGTTACCAAGGATCGTTGTATAGACTGAATGAGAAGCATCCTCTTGGAACCTGCAGTGTTCTTCAGTCTTCCAGCCCTAGTCAGTGTCTCTTTCATCAGTGGGATACTCTTAAGCTCTTCCTGTAAACATTCCTCAGGAAGGGCTCGTGTGAACTGGACAACCAGACATTGCATGTTCATAACAGTTTGTCTTAGGACTTAATTCAGGTCAGCTTGGCACAGTATAAATGCTTGGCTTATACTATCTTTCCTTGAGTGTTGGTAATATATACCCTGTTGTATTCTGGCATCAAGTTTAGATGGCAGAAAATCTGGCAACAATCTTACTTTCTTTCCCTATGATTTGGTCTTTTGCTTGAATACTCAAAGGATATCTTTCTTTCCCTTTACAGTCCAATAGATTTCTTAAAATATACTTTGGTGTTGTATTTATTTTTCTAGTAGGTGGTATGTTTGTTTTAACAGACTTTTATTATAGAGTAATTTGGGTTCATAACAAAACTGAGAAGAAAGTAGGAAGAGTTTCTATATACACCCCATTCCGCATGCACATCCTTTCCAACCAGCAGCCCCTCCCCGCAAAGAGCATTTGTTACAGTTGATGAACCAACATTGACACAATATCATCACCCAGATCCATAGTTTACAGTACGGCTCACTCTTGCTGTTGTACATTCAGTAGATTTTGACAAATATATAGTGATGTGTATCCACCATTATATTATAAAGAGCAGCTTACAGCTCTAAAAAAATCCCTGTGCTCTACCTGTTTGCTCCTTCAGACCCCCAAACTCCCAGCCGTTCACCTCTACCCTGTCTCCTTAGTTCTGTGTTTTCTAGAATGGCATAGTTGGAATCAGACAGTATATAGACGTTTCATACTAGCTTCTTTCACTTAGTAAAATGCACTTGTTCCCTCCATGTCATTTTTTTACTTGATAGCTCATTTTTTAGTGTTAATACAGCACTAATATTAGCACTTTTTAATAATATTTCATTGTGTGGATGCACCATGGTTTGTTTATATGTTAACTCAATTTGTTTATATAGGTTATTCCTCTACTGAATCACATCTTGATTGCTTTCAAGTTCGGTCAATTATGAATAAAATTGCTATAAACATCTGTGTACACGCTTTTGGATACATACAAGATTTCAGTTCATTCGAGAAAATACAAAGGAGCATGATTTCTTGAACATAAGTAAAGAGTCTGTGAAATTTTCTTCCAAAGGGGCTGCACCAATTTCCTTCCATCCGAAATGAATGGGAGCTCCTGTGGCTCCACGTCGCCGGCAGCATTCGGTGTCGGGGTCTGGCTTGCGGCCATCGTAGCAGGTGCGCAGTGGTATCGTGTTTCAATCTGCAGTTCCCTCCTGGCATATGATGTGAAGCATCTTTTCATACATTTATTCGCTGGCTATATATCTTCGCTGATGAGGTGTCTATTGAGATCTTAAGCCCACTTTTTAATTGGGTTGTTTGTTTTCTTACTGTCGAGTTTTAAGAGTTTTTAAAAAATATTTCAGTTGACAGTGCTTTGTGTCTTTGTCTTTTGCAGGTGTTTTCTCCCAGTCTATGGTTTGTCTTCTCATTCTCTTGACAGTGTCTTTCCCAGAGGAAAAGTTTTCAGTTTTAATGAAGTCCAGCTTATAAGTTCTCTCTTTCATGGATGCTTCCTTTGGTATAGTATCTGAAAGGTCTTTGCCAAACCCAAGGTCATCTGAATTTACCTTCTAGGAGTTTCATAGTTTTGCATTTTAATTTAGGTCTGTGACTGATTTTGAGTTATTTTTGTGAAGAGTGTAGTGTCTGTCTCTATGTACCTTTTTGGTTTTTGCCTATAAATATTCATCTGTCCAGCACCATTTGTTGAAAAGACTGTCCTTTGTCCAGTGAATGGCCTTTTGCTCCGTTATTGAAGATGAGTGTGGCATACTTGTGTGGGCCTATTTCTGAGCTCTGTTCAGTTCTATTGATCTATTTGTCTATTTTTTCTCCCAGTACCACCCTGTTTTGGTTGCTGTGATTTTAATAAGTAAGTATTGAAATTGGATAGTGTGTTTCTCAGACTTTGTTCCTCTCCTTCAATATTGTTTTGGCTTTTCTGGGTCTTTTGCGTCTCCACATAAACTTTTAGAATTGGTTGATAGCCACGAAATAACTTGCTGGTACTTTGATTGGGATTTCATTGAATCTGTAGATCAAATTGGGAAGAACTGACATCTTGACAATATTGAGTCTTCCTATCCGTATTTATAATTTATTTATAATTCTTTGATTTTGTACATTAAGTTTTTACTTTTTCTCATCATGATTTGTCCTATTAGTATATGGTTTCCAGTCTTCTCTCTCCCACCATCAATTTAGGAGTTTTCTTTTCTGTTCTTAAGACTACTTCGGAGTCTTCTACTATGTATATTTGGGTTCTTTTACCTTTTTCCAGTGTCTGTCGCTTTCTCCTAAATCCTTTCTGTTGATTCTTTGTTTTTGTTTTGTTTTAGTAAAACTGTTTTCTCCTTTTCAAATTCCATATTTCTTAA